CTTCCTTCCTCCTCTTGTCATTTTCCCTTCCCCCTTCCCAAGCCTCTGCATTTTCAACTGGAACATTCCTCAGCTCTGTGCATTAACTTGAGTATATGTAATGAGACGTGTCAGATCCACAGCTATAGTTAACACCCTACTTTCTTTTCTACATCCTGCTCTCTTCCCCTTCCATTTTTCTTTCTTGAGATGAATATAAGGCAAGATTTCTCAACCTTACTACTATTGACATTTTGGACTTGATAATTCTTGTAGTGGGGGCGATCTTGTAATTTGTAGAATGTTTTGCAGCATCTCTGCCTTCTACTCACTACTTGCCAGTAGTACCCATGCCTCTGTCATAATCAAAAATGTCCCTAGACATTGCCAAATATCCTCTGGGGGGCAAAATCACCCCCAATTGAGAACCAGTGTTATAAAGGAGTATATAGGGGAGGTAGAGTTAATAAAATCCCCAAATCTTAGAAGGCAGTCTCCAAACTGTTTTGATTATGTACTCCTAGCAACAAAACAAAGTCTGAGCATACAGCCCAATATATATGTATATTTATTTATTCTATACATATCCTCTAAGTCATTCTTTTATGTAAGTATAAAATATTCATAAAACTAACATATTTAAAAGGATGGGATAAGAAGCTAGTTAGACATCCTGATATATCCTTTCTACAATGGGACATCTTGTGTACTCTCTGGGGTATGGCCATTCCACTGTAGAGACCATTGCAAGACTGTACTGCCTTTGGGGCTAGATAAATCCAGGCTCACAGCCCTGGCTTTAGTTCCCTGCACTGCCATTTACTGGTTGAGGTACATTCATTTGTTCAATAAAAATGTCAGGGATACAGCAGAAAACAAGACACAACCCTCAGGAAGCTAATGGTAAAGAGACCTTGGACAACCCAGTAGTCTCAGCTTAATTATAGGTTAATGGGGATACCTTGCAGGATAGAACTGAGAATTAAGAAAGATAATATAGGGGCAGGTCCAGTGACTCAGTTGGTTAAGAGCTCACTCACAAGTGTGTGCTCTGAGCAACAGCGGTTTGATTCCCAGCCCGAGCTGAGCTGCCGCTGAGCTGCCAACAGGTGGCAGAATGGCTCAGCTAAAAAGACAAAAAAACCCACAACATAACATATTAAAGCATAGGACTGGCCGAGTAGTGCATTGGTTAAGAGCTGGCTTGGGACACCAGAGGGCCCCAGTTCAGATCCCACATATAAGGGCCAGTGACACTGCCCTCTACAGCTAAGATGCTGAACAACAGCTCAACCTGGAGCTGGGCTGCCATGAGTCGCCGGCAATGGCATAGACTGCAGCCCCTGCTGCAGTGGGTTGCCATGGGCTACTGCGTGTAGCCAGCAGCCAGCGTGAGTGGCCAGCAGCCACCATGAGCGGCCGTCCAGAAGCCGGCGACTGATCTGCCTCGCCTGGGAAGAGCGCAATAATAGTGCCAAGTTGGGCCAGTGAAGCAACGTCCTCCACAACTAGACTAAAGAACAAAAGGGCAGCAACTTGTCTGTTCCCCTTCCCCCAATTCCCCAGCGCTGTTCCCATCCCCCAATTCTCCAATAAAAATCTTTAAAAAAATAAATAAATAAAATAAAGCATATAACAGGTGCTCAGAAATGGTCCCCACTAATTCACTGTAAGGCTGTTTGTGATAGCGAAAGATTGGAAAGAACGAAACTATGTATCAATAAGGGACTGGTTGAATAAACAATGGTACATTCTCCAGTGGAGTAATGTACACCTGTAAAGAGCAAGGAGGAATATATGTATCTATGGCTAGGGAATGATCTCCAGGATATATTGTTACATAAAACAAGCAAGGTGGGGGAGGGGCCTTAAAACGATTCTCTATGAATGTGTGACACTATGCATTTGCCAAAATTCATAGAACTTTACATTAGAAAGAGTGAACCTTAATGTACATAAATTTTTAAAAAATATTTAAGAGGCCAAGGAATCCCAGATAGAATGCAGACTTTGACAAAAGAATCTAACGGTATGAAACCACCTCGCTGAAGGGGTAAGAGAAAAAGGCGTTGACCTAAGTAACACTGGAAACAGATAGTGTCTGTAAGACTAAAGGCAAAAGACCTGCACATATGTAGTCTACTCCAGTTGAGAAAGTTGTTCCCCACAGATGTATGGGCTAACAATTCTGAAGCCACTATACATGTATACTGGAAATGATAGTCAAGTAGATGGATAGCTGATGGTGGGGGCCAGGTTTCTCACTTTTGGAGTGGAGGATTACAGATAAGCAAAAGGGGGAATGACTAGAATGAGCCAGGTGTCAGGTGGTAATGAGTTAGAATTATAAGACATCAGTATGCATACATTTAGCTTACAGATGGAAATAGATAGGTGTATATATTTACGAGTAATCCCTTGCTTTCTTCTCTTTCTGGTACTCCTATGATGTAAATGTTATGCTCATATGCATATGTATTTAAGTATTACATACATACATACATACAATATACATGCATACATACACAAATATTCATGGATATGTGGATATAGAGGAGTTAGCATTCACACATATTTTTCCTAGATCTGTCAGCAGAGAAAGCCTAGAAGCAACAACATCCCAGTGGCAACAAGCCCACTTAGTACCCAGATCTTTGTTTCTAATACCATTTTCCGATAAAGGAACCAGGGGTCCTTGGGGAAATGGCTGATTCTAGTTCTAGAGCATCTTGTGCCAGAAAGTAAGGAAGTGCTCAATAAAACACAAAGATGGGAGTAAGTCAAAGGAACAATGTAGCTAAAGTAGGAACAATTTGATTAAAAAATAAAGTGGTATTGGATTATAACCCAAAGTATAAAGTAAGTATCCATGAGTCCATACGGATATAAATACATAATTAAATAAATAAATGGGGGAGAAGAGACAAATCTCCTGTGTAGAAGGATTTCAAGTAACTTACATGGATATCCTGACCTTAAGGAACTAAGGAATAATGTCCAGTCCTTAAATGTGGCCTGTGCATAATGACTTCCTGCCAAAGAGCAGAGTAGGGGAAAGTGGGTAAAGAGTAACTTTACACTTCCGGGCCGGCCGAGTGGCGCGATGGTTAAGAACTGGCTTGGGACGCCAGAGGGCCCCGGTTCGGATCCCACATATGAGGGCCAGTGACACT